TTCCCATGTCGGTGGCTTAACTTCCTTTGGGAGTTAATATATTTGAGGGCCTCCTGATCAGAATACAAAACGAACTCCCTAAAAAGAAGGTAATGACGCCAGTAGCGAAGTGCTTGAATCACAGCGTAAAATTCTCTGTCATAAGTGGAATACCTTTGCTTTGCTTCATTAAGTTTCTCACTAAAATATGCAACCGGATGTCCTTCTTGACTGAGTACGCCTCCAATTCCGACCTGTGAAGCATCACATGCAACTTCAAACACTTTTGACAAGTCTGGAAGGCGTAAAATAGGAGCTGCAGTCATTCTTTTCTTCACTTCTTCGAAAGCCTCTGCTGCTGCCTTTGTCCAAACAAACTGGCTGTTCTTCATACAATTGGTGATAGGGGCCATTATTGTGCTGAAATTTCTAATAAATCGCCGATAGAATGAAGCTAGCCCATGAAAACTCCGTGCTTCCTGCAATGTGCTGGGAATTGGCCAATCTAGAATTGCTTTCACTTTATCAGGATCAGCTTCTACCCCTTTGGAAGAAACAACAAAGCCCAAAAACACCACACTCGGCAACATGAAGGAACACTTCTTCAAGTTCATGTAAAGCTTCTCTTGGCGGAGAACTCTCATAACTTGTTGAGGGTGGGAAATATGTTCCTCCCTCGTTTTGCTGTAGATTAAAATATCATCTAAATAAACAACCAGAAAACGACCAATAAAGGGCCGCAATACCTGAGTCATGAAGCGCATGAATGTACTAGGGGCATTGGAAAGACCAAATGGCATAACAAGCCACTCGTAGAGTCCATCTTTTGTCTTGAAAGCTGTCTTCCATTCATCCCCGGGCCTTATGCGAATTTGATGGTAGCCACTTTTCAGATCTATCTTTGAAAATATACAAGAACCAGCCACCGTGTCTAGCAAATCATCGATTCGAGGAATAGGAAACCGATACTTGATTGTAATCTTGTTGATGGCGCGACTGTCAATACACATGCGCCAACTACCATCCTTCTTTGGTGTGAGCAAAGCTGGGACAGCACAAGGACTTAAGCTTTCCTGGATAAATCCTTTGGACAGCAGCTCATTAACTTGCCTCAGAAGCTTGGCATGCTCGCTTGGATTCAAACGATAAGCTGGAAGGTTAGGCTATGGAGATCCCGGTACCAAGTCGATCGCATGCTGGATATTACGTAGAGGAGGGAATTCATTAGGGAGATCTTCAGGAGATAAATCTGAGAAATCTGACAGCAAATTGGCGACCTCTGATGGCATTGAAGAATCATGAACAGCAGCAGTTTCTTTGATTTCCCTTGCTACAACAGCATATACAACACCCATCTCTTTACTTTCCAATTGAAACCTCTTCTTGGAAAGGAGATTGAGGGGCTTTTTCTTGTTTTTCGCATCATCTACAGCCTGTCCACCTTTATATTTCTCCATTTCAGCTGAGGACATAGGCTTCAAAATAATTTGCTTGTTGTTAAACAAGAAAGTGTATGTATTCTCCTTCCCATAATGATACACATCTCGATCATAAATCCAAGGCCGCCCAAGAAGAATATGTGTCACTTTCATGGGAATTACATCACACCAAACAGAATCATTATAAGCTCCACAAGAGAAAGAAACGAGACTACGTTGAGTTACTGGAATAGAAGTACTATCTATCCACGCCCCTTTGAATGGTTGTGGATGTGGTTGGACTGAAAGCTTGAGGCGCTCAACCGTGGCTGCAGACACAACATTCATGCAACTTCCGCCATCAATAATGACCTTTCGAGCTTGATTTCCACAACGAACTAGCATTTGAAAAATAGATGTGTGCTGCCAATCTTTATCTTCAACTTCAGGGGCTGCAAGGATGTGCCTCACAACGGAGATTGATGGAACATCTTCATCCTCTTCTAGATCATCAGGGTTGTAGTTCCCATAGTCAAACATGTTCCCATTGTCCTCTCCCCCATGTTCTTCAGGCTCTTCTTCAGGCATTATCCCAATGTGTAAATTTTTCTTTGGACATTGGTATGCCATGTGACCTGTTTCTCCACATTTGAAGCACTTGTTACTCCTTCCACTACCTTTGTTGGCCACAATACTCTTCCCTTTAGGATCAGCCATGTTAGAAAAGGGCAGTTTTGATCCAGCATTTCCACCAGTCGGCTGCATTGTTACTGATTGTGTGCTGCGATTTCCATCACTGGACTTCTTGGGTGCTGCATCCCAGGTTTGATATCCAGATCTTCGTGCCATTTGATAACTCAAGTATTCCTCCATGTCCAATGCAACCTGAAAAGCATGTTCAACACCATATAATGACTGGCGAAGCAATTCCCTTCTGATATCAGACCTTAGACCAGCCTTGAATCTTGCAAGTGTTTGCCGCGGGTCTTCCACAACTTGACTTCTAGTCTTTAACTCATCAAATCTTTGCATATATTCTGCGACTGACAGGCTGCCCTGCTTTAGATTGATAAGTTGATCACACAGTTTGTCATGGTAATTGGCTGGCATGTATTTCTCTCGAAGCTTTGCCTTTATTTCTTGCCATGTGCTGATTGGTGGTTGTCCCAGCCTCCTAATATCCCCTTCAACACCAGTCCACCATATTTTTGCTAGGCCCACAAGCTTCATTCTAGCAAATCTCACTCTACGATCATCACTCATATCATACCAATCAAAATATTCTTCAATCGAAGCAAGCCAATCCGAAAATATAGTAGGATCAGCCTTACCTTCAAAATCTGGCACCTCCATTTTAATTTTCTTTGTGATATCCCCAGCGTTATCATGTGGCACCTGATAATTCATTCCCAGCAGATTTCTCGGAAACTCGAACATTTGGTGTGGTGGTGGATCAGCCCTCACATTCTGCCTTTGCTGCATATTTAAAGGATGTTGTTGCTCTCGACTACTGCCATCATTTGTACTGGATGCAGCAGGAGCAAAATTGTTAATAGGCTGACACATTCGAGCTTCTAACTCATTGAATCGGACATTCAACCCATTGAGCTGCTCCATAAGCTTAGATATCAGCTCATCTTGCTGATTAATACCCGATCTTTCATTTCCTGATTGTGTTGACATGATGTCAACTCAAGCTCTGATACCAAAAACTGATGTAGGACAAGAGAGCAGCCTTAAATAGCTAAGAACTCAAAGAATTCAGAGTCTGAAAGTTCAAGAACTAGGGCAGAAATTTGGAGGTTTGATAGTAGAAATGTAGAAAACCAAAGGAGAAGTGGTTGTTAATTAAAAAAAGCAGAGCTATAGTTCAAAATATTAGTAGAGAGAAAGGATTGAAAACAACAAAAACCTACTGAAATTACACCAACAGGTCCAGGTATCACACCTAGAGAAGGCCTCACGCCCTCACAAATTGTGAATCACTCACAAAGAAATCTCAAAGATATTTTTATTCATTCCTTGACTGACTCAGCAAGTTTACATCATACCCTTCTTATAGCAACTTATGACCCTCAGATTACCCCATGATTAAGGTAATCAAAAGTTGACTCTATAGCATAATAAAAGTAATCACCCCGTAATTGAGGTAATCAATATTTGACTCTAGCATAATAAAAGTAATTACTATGGACGGATGTAATTTGATCGAAATTGATGCAAGCTACCATAATTATGCAATTTGACCAAATCCCCCTAATTATGCAAGACTCCAAGTGGACCCATCGTCTAGCATGTGCCAAATTAAGGTTTGAGCCTTAGAACCCTCCTTGCCACGCCTTTTATATACCTTAAAAGGCTGCTGCCACTGTTCTCTATCACTGGTTGTTGGTTGTGAAGACTTTTTACAAACCAAGCTGTTTGTTATATTTATGAAAAGGGTAAGTTGTTAATTAGAGTTGCATAGTCTGAGGACAAATTTTCTAAAGGTGGCAGTTAGAGTTGAGATGGGCAATTGCTGCATTGGTGCTGGCTATTAGTAATTGAGTTAGTGGTGAACTGGTGATGTGGTGAGAGTGGAGAGGTTTTAATGGTGGTTCTATGATTGGAGGTGTTTATTTGGTGATGATAGAATCAAGAGGTCTTTTTATCTCTTTTTCTTAGTGATTTAGAACAGAGCAAATAGTCAGATGTAGGAGAATGTCTAGGAATTTCCATCTCAGGATTTAGAATATATTGGTGTTGATATAGTTTTTTTATTAGAATCCAAGCGGAGGAGTTTATATTGATTGAATACAGAAAGAGAAGACTACTTGTTTTCTGCTTTGCTAGGTAAGGTATACGAAGAAAAAGCTGATTTGGCTTTGTTTACAATGGAACTTTTTGACTTTGTTTACAATGAAACTTACAAAAAAAATTCGTTTTTCAAACTTTAGCTTGTGCACAAATATAGCAGGCCTTTCTTGGATCCATGTGAATTACTATTAGATTCAAATTGGGTTGGGTTAGAATGGAGTTTTTAACCGGGCTCATGTCCTGATTTTAACTTCAAAAATTCACTAGGATTAGGCATACCAAAAAGAGGAGTATCAAAAACTCCTTGATTGTGGACAGGATGTTGGCGGCCGCGGCACTGTTGGAGTATGAAGTTGCAGTAGCATTAATGTTGTGGTGGCATAAAAGTGGCTTAATGGTGGTAGTCACAGTAAGGATGTGGTATTACACTGGACTTTGGTCACTGTGGAGGTCTGATGCTGGTGTGTCGGTAGTGATGCTAATGTTGGTGGTGAGAGTGCTGGCCATGGTAGTGCTGGTGCCTAGTGGGTGAATATGGTTGTATGATATACGGCCATGAGTTGTGATGCAATTTTTTTTCTTATTTATTTACTTATTTTAAAATGTACATTTGCCGCTCGAAATGCATACTTTCATGTGTATAATTTTTGGCTTCTAAATACTAGAAACATGTTCAAAAAATGCATGGAGTTTGGCTTTCATTTTGCCATTTTTGCTGATTTTGTAATCTAATTTTGTATTATTCTTATTTGCTTATTTAATTTTATTTAAAACTTTTTTTTTTCTTCATCTCTCTAATGTTTATAGGGCTGATCGAGATTATAGCAAAGATTTGCACGAAATGATTCAGAAAAACTCTCCTTCCACAACACGCCGGATGTTGTTTGCCAGTGTATTCATGTATTCTTGTTATCATCCTTCAAGGTACTTATCAGGTTGGCACAGTTCATCTTTGTTTCCTTTGAAATTTTTGACCAAATTGAGTGAAGGGTACAATATAGATCAGATTAATTTTTAGATCACAAGTACCTTGTGAAATCTTTAGTTACTTCATTGTGGCTCAAATTTTGTAATCCTATTTTTTTTCCCTAATTAAAATTTTCATTGAAACAGGGCTCCCATTACGAACTGAGATAGGATGAATACCCCTTAAACAGTTTTATTTATTTATCAGTTTAATGTATCTTATTAACCTATAACCTATTACAATGTAAAAGCATTTCATGTCAATAGCTTTTACTTGTTCCTTTACCAGTCTTGATCAATATGGGTGCAAATTGTAAATTGAAAAGGCTGTTATCTAGTGTTGCCGCCTGTTGATAAGAGTGGATTGGTTACTGATATAACGTTTTGCATTATGTACAAAATGGCTGCCGTCAGACTTGAATAATGTTATTAAGCTTTGCAAGCCAAGCGTTTACCATTGTACCAAACAATTGCCATTGTGCAATTCATAAATTTGTAATTCAACATTTCATTTTTTATTATATGTAAAATGGTGAACTAAAGATCCATAGGCTTGGCGTAGGCTCATCAAAGTTCATTACCCTTTCATCTGCTCTTGTAAATTACCCAGCTTCATGTTTTGGAACCAGTGTATTAATATGAGGCTTGCTGCTGATCACATGATAAATTTTAGATATGCAGCTCATGCTTTAGGGGATCCATCTGTGACTGTTGAAGAAGTAACACCCACTGTTTATCGTTCTGGGACGCTATTCCCTTCCGAGGTTTATTTTCAACTATATCCTATTTGTTCATATTTTCAAATCTGAATGGTTTGTTTTAAATTTCACACTTCTGTATACTGGATGTTTATGGCAGGTCAATTGATATGTGTCTACTTGGCAGGAAAGAATTGTCCAACTTTTTGAGAAGAACACTTACTCTGTTGTCAACATCTTTGACGTGACATTGCGCCCCCAACTTAATGTTACGGGTGTGGTTGAGGTAATGTTGTTCATTAAGTGCAAGGTTTGTTTTTGTGTACTTTTCTGGTATTTAGAACAAAACAATGAACCCACAGTGCTTACAAGTTCATGAATTGTTCTTGGTTATATCTTGAATTCCATGCTTCTACATTTCTACATCTATAACATGGTTGCAATACAAATATCTTTATATACATAATGCAGGTCCCTGAAGGAAATGGTTCTGGAGTAGTCTGGGATCAGCAAGGGCACATTGTAACAAATTATCATGGTAAGAACTGGTAATGGATTTGCAGTGCTTTTATCAATTAGTTTTCAGTTTGATGGATGGAATGGATTTGATTTGACAACCAAATATTCTGTTGAAAGAAAGTACTCACTTCGTGCTGCTTAAGTGTTACCTTATCTATTATGTTGGAGGGATCACAAATTGTGCTAAGTAAAAATTTCACTTTGTTTACGATTAGTTTGTGATTTGTTGTCAACTTGTTTCTTACAAAAAAAAATGATTAGTGGAATATGTTATAGTGTTTTTTTTGGCGCTGTTTCATCATGGTGAGTTCTTTACAGTCTTATGTATGGTTTCATTTTCATCTGCTTATTTTTTTTAACAGTTCAGTCGATATTTGATGGTTGTTGAATGCAATATGCAATCATGAACTGTAGTATAAATGTTACATTGACCACTTACTTAAAAAAAGTTATGTTAAGCTGTTAATGGATGATTGTAATTTAGGCTCCGTTTGTTTCGATGTAAAATATTTTTTTCAGAAAATGTTTTCATTTTCTAGGTAAATTTTTTATTTTTTTATTTTTACTTTTCGGTGTTTGGCAAAGGTTTAGGTCGAGGTTGAGGTCGAGTCCTTCGGGTAGGATGTGTATAATAACTTACCAAAAATTGATAGATAAATTATTTTTGTTAGATTTTAATATTTTTTTCTTCGTAAATATTTTACGACAAACAAACACCAGAAAATAAAAAAATATTTTCTGAAAAATATTTTACATTCAAACAAATGGAGCCTTAATGCTAGTCAATCAACTTCAGATTACTATAATGGGTATGATATTCTAAATTAACTATTCATTTCTGTATTGCCCAGTAATTGGTAATTCCCTTTCAAGAAATTCAAGCCGTGGGCAAGTTGTTGCAAGAGTAAATATTCTTGCTTCAGACGGGTAAGATTTAGCCTTCACAATTATTGATCAATAAATTTGCATTACTGGGTAGTCAATCTTTGCTTAAGTTGGTAGAGATACACAATTTATTGTTCCTCCCAGTTCCTTATTGTGTTTAGTTTTCTTAAAGGGTACCAAAGAATTTTGAGGGTAAGTTGATTGGTGCTGACCGGGCTAAGGATCTTGCTGTCTTGAAGGTATGCTTTCTTTGCAATCTTGTGTTATTTTCTTAATGCATGACACTTTATTCACCAACTTTTGTTACTAGTTTTACTACTTCACTCTTACATATTTTGGCTAACTTGATGAAGTTCTTGTATATCTTTTTTTTGCTTGTGTCACTGTGTGTGGAAATTGGGTGTTTTCTTGAGTAGCCATTCATTTTTTGTCCTGCTCTCTGTAATCTTTTTCCCAGTGTTGGAATGATCACAAACCTATAATGATATAAAATGTTTTTCAGGCATGAACCGTTCTTCCTTCTTGTTCTCACTTGTGTAAGGCAACATCATTGCTATAAGAGTGTCAAATATCATTTCCACTATCTGAGTTCCATCTTTTATCTGTCATGATTCATCACCCAATGGTCATTGAAACTATCAATTGATATCAAAAGTTCTGCACATCTGTTGTTCAATAAGTTTGCTTAAATAATCAATACATTTATTGTGGCAATGACATATATATCTCAAGGTGGTTTCAAGGTTCTTAAATGGTAGAGTTTGTTTTGTGCGATACTCTATAGTCTACCAGTTTGTCTGTTGTGTATAAATATTGAGATCGTCAACTTTTCATCTTTAATGTGCTAGGTGGAAGCCTCTGAAGAACTCTTGAGGCCTATTAATGTGGGGCAGTCATCTTCTTTAAGAGTTGGCCAACAGTGTTTAGCTATTGGAAATCCATTTGGTTTTGACCATACCCTCACTGTTGGGGTTATTAGTGGACTGGATAGAGACATATTTAGTCAAACGGGAGTCACAATTGGTGGGGGAATTCAGACAGATGCAGCCATCAATCCTGGGAACAGGTCATTTGTTGGACTTTTCGCACTGATGAAAAAAACACTTTAATTGAGAGATCTTACTCTTCCTGTAACATCTAAAAATATCTGATCCAGTTTCTCCACCTGTTTATTATTTCTGTAAATCTTTTCATTTCTCAGTAAGAAATCTAGTTTAACTTGTGCACCACAACTGTGTGGTTTTCCTTTAATTCTGGCAGTGGAGGTCCTCTGTTGGATTCAAAAGGAAATTTAATTGGGATTAACACAGCAATTTTTACTCAGACAGGTAGTTTCCATCTCTATCTTATTTGCGTCATTTATGTTTCAAAGCCAAAAAGGAACAATTTAAGTTTCATAATGAGACCAGAAAAGCATTAGCTGATGCCTTATACTTGGGAAATGAAACCTCTTCAGATGCCTTTTATTATTATTATTATTGATGTTGTTGTTATTATTGATGTTGTTGTTGTTTGTTTATTTTCGCATGGCAGGGACATCAGCTGGTGTAGGGTTTGCCATACCGTCCTCAACCGTGTTAAAGATAGCACCTCAGTTGATCCAATTTGGAAAAGTATGTTTTGTTTCTAATCATCTGTGCTGCTGGGATTTTGTTAGCTTATAGTCAAGGAACCCTTTATTTCTTCTTTGGTATTATCATGTCTTTTTTATTAGCTCTCCACTAATCTGATCTTCCAGTATTCTTTGGTTCTCTGCGGAATTCTGGTTATTGGAAGCACTGTCAATATATTGACTTCCATTTCAAAATAATGGAAAGTGTTTCTTTATAATTTTTGTTATTTCTTTGTTGCTTTTTTTTTTTTTTTTTTTTGTGATAGATGTTATTTATTTATGATATTTATATCACGTTTTATACATCTTAGGTTGTTCGAGCTGTTCTAAATGTGGATATTGCTCCTGATCTGGTTGCAAATCAACTTAATGTTCGAAATGGAGCTCTGGTTTTGCAGGTACACCTTCATGATCATAGTTGTCATTGTACCCATTCGTGGATTTTATTTTATTTTATTTTATTTTATTTTATTTTATTTTATTTTTTTTCATATTTGGTGTTGTATAACTTTTACCACTTTTTATCGCTGTCAGATCACCTATATTTTCTCCAATTTACGGTATTGTGCTGTAGGTTCCTAGGAATAGTCTTGCAGCCAAGGCCGGGCTACTTCCCACTACAAGGGGCTTTGCTGGAAATATTGTACTTGGGGATATTATTGTAGCAGTGAACAACAAACCTGTGAGCTGCCTCTTTTTCCAACTGCCATTTTAATATTTGTGTATGGTTCTCATATTATTAAGCCACAAGATCAAGCGCTTGCATGTTGATGGAATGAAGCTGAAAAAATTTATATAATTTTGGTAAATTTAGATGTTCTCTTCTTAAGATATATTGGTGCACATAGATGTCAAGCCATACCAATATGTTTAACTTAACTAATTAAATTTCCTTTCGTTTTCAAAGCATCTGGATATAGTGTATTTCATTTGTGCGAGCATTGTTGCTAAAGTCCTGGTCCACCATCTTTCTTAGGAGTCAAGAGCGGGCACTATATAGTTGTGCAAAAAATTGTTGAAAGAGTACCCTACTAATAGGATTTACCGAAACATTTTAGCATTCTGTTGGATTGAATATGGAGTATAACTTACTTCTTTGTGTTCTTATGCAGTTTACCTTTATAATTTTCAGCATAATTTACTCGTGCATTCTTTGCTTTAAACAGGTTCGAAGTAAAGCAGAGTTATACAATACATTGGATGAATTCAGTGTAGGGGATAAAGTCCTCTTTAAGATTCAGAGGGGTAATGAGAACTTGGAGCTGCCTATAGCTTTAGAGGAAAAAGATTCGTGATATACGGCCGCCTGGTACATTTTTCCGCAGGTTGCTCTTTGCCATGTTGATTGTTGTATAATGGGGTGATGTAGGACGTTAGCTCTTGTATGCTCAATTGTTTGTTGAACTTTGATTCTAGATTTTTTTTTTTTTAGCAAGAATTAATTTCTATATGTGCTCAATCTTTTCAATCATCTAGCAAGACCTATTTCTTATATGCTAACCTTTCTGAAACATTTTCATACTGATGAACCAATAATCACCTGATTGAGTTGGTTTTTAAGGGGCATGCTTGGATATATATATATAACTAATATCTTTCCATTTTGTTTTCCATTTTCTCTCGGGGTTGATTACTTCAGAAAGTATGGCGTTTCTCTTGAATACATTTCTACAAGAGGAAGAAGGTATTGAAATTTTCATGCATTTCTATATCTCATGTTGTAGTATAGATTAGCTAGGCTGTCTCATCAAGCTTATCGAACACGATCATCAGCGGAGTATACGAAGGATTATATATACACAGCCTTTTCTCTGCATGCAGAGAGACTATTTATTGTTTCAAATCCATGGCTTCAATGATCACGACAGAGCAAGCTAACTGTTGGTTGCTTCCTCTATCATATTAGATGCTACAAAAGTTCATAATGGTGCTTAGATTTGGATTTCATTCTTACCCTTTGTCAAAGAATATATAAAAGATTTAGAAAGGAAAAAAAAAAAAAAAAAAAAACATTTACTAGGGAAAGGAAGCTTATAATTATTCTTCATATATATAAGCCTAATGATCCTTCATGTATGTGTCTCTGAAACCCAAGGTCTTTTGTTGGGCTCTCTATCAATTCCTAGGCTATCATGTATGTGTCTCTGAAACCCAAGGTCTTTTGTTGGGCTCTCTATCAATTCCTAGGCTAACATAGGCCAGCCAATTGGGCTTCTCAATATGGATAGCCCTGTAAGACCATTTTGGTAAATGATATCAATAAGGAAAATCGGGCTCCCTTTTAAGGCTTGAATTTGGTACTAAATGGTGGGAACACAAGCCCAGCTCACATACTAATGGTTCTAGCTGATGCAAACTTGGACCCAATGGTTATTCTTTCTGAGACCCAAAAACTGATTGAAGCCACGGTCTTTGAGGCCCAAGTGGTGTGGTTACATGGTCCACAAATTGACGTTGGGGGTTTGACCCTTTGAGCCTAAGGTTTGACTTCTTTAAACTTGGATCACATCCTAGTTTTATTACCAGAGCGATGATATATATAAATATATATATATTATATATATACCAACCAAAACTAGCCGAATTCTTGCAATGAAGTGGGCTCCATGTGGCTCCCACTTTAATGTTACCAAGGAATGGCAGTGGAAGGTTTGCCTAGGTTTTTATCCACCCCTCTTCTGGACAAAAATTATTCTTATTATTATAAATTAATAAAGTTCAGAATTATTGGAATTGCTAAGCCATCACCAATCAGCCGATGAAAATGATGTTTCTTGGAATATTAGGCTATTGCCGTAATTATAAATTTTCAATTTCCTACTTCAAAAAATTTTAGCTGGACAGATAAGTTTTTTTTTTTTTAATGACCTAGAACCTTCTAATCATCAAATTTATGAATATAAGGTAAATTATAGATATATGCAATTACAAACAAATTCTTTTCATATTTGATGCGTTCATATTAGGGTGGACTTGATTTTTGTTTTAACATCTAATAATCAAATAATCAGAACACACCAAGTCTAGGTAAGGAATGTGTTATTTTCTTTTCTCTTTAATTTTTAAAAAGTTTTGAAACCATTATTGGTAAATAAACAAAAATCTTGAAAGTCGAAATCATCTCGCAGGAGGATAAAGAAACAAAATGTTTCAATGTCACTAATTCTTAATATTCCGTATCAATTCAACAACGTACAAAGCGTCACATCACTCACTTATTAAAACGATATTTCATATTTATTGTTTTTGTGTGATGACCATAAAATCATATTGCCTCCAAAATTCCATCAATCATGGTCATGATTTATAATTTTTAAAATTTTTATACTTGTTTTTCATGGTCACTTCTTACCATTAGCCAATCAACTCACCCAGGTAGACCATTTTAATTGCTGTGCCATCTCCAAAACAGGGTCTCAAGTAAACCAAACCACCAACATATGTTAGATTAATTCACTATTTAAAAATATAATGTGACTATACACTATATAAATATAATATTATCTCCAACATCATCCAGTCATCAAGCTCAACCCTGTTCCTGATTTGTCTTTTACTCTTTGCTTCCAAGTCTTAAACACTATTACTTTATAGGAATCTCAGACTCCACATTTCACAATCAATTTGATAATTACCCATTGCTATATATATATATAAAATCTCGTAGTTCAATTCCAATTTCCATCATCGATGTATGTTTGTGTCCTAGATTTCCACACTTCTATATCACAAGATAAAGCCAACTTTGATTGATATTTAAAATTATAATTTGTTTAAGAATGGTACATGGAAATCTCTAGTGGCCTTACATGGGGCATACTAAAAGATAAGGTTTGAATAGTATCTTAACATGTAAGCAAGAAATTTAGAATTACGATTATGAATGTCACTATTTTATAAATTAAATCAGCTTTCAATGAGATTACCTTGAAATTGAATAGACCCTATAATATATATATATATATATATATATATTGTCATATTGTTGTTAGAGTGATGATATATCATCTCGATTTAGAAGATATTGAATTAAAAATTTGTGAGTGGGGGTGTAAGTCTCGCCACATGATATCTTTCAACTTAATATTTCGTCAGCACCTTCCGAATTTAGAAAGTGTAACATTTTTTCTTTTGCAATGATAAAATATTAAGAATTGTTAATTACCTTGAATAACCGACTCCTATTTTGTTTTTGATAAAGTAACCGTCTCTTATCTTAATAACATTAATTTTTAAAATTTTCTTATTAGAATCAAGTCAAGCGTGGTTGTAATAAAAAATTTAAGACCGATAGGAACCTGTTTGTGCTAAAAATTAAATACCGTTAAACATGTTATTTTATTTAAATTATTATTTATTTATTATTATTATTTTTTTTTTGTGTGTTTGTGCTTGCTCCTAAATGCACCACAAAATCACAAATCATGATACATGTGTGCAAGGTAAGACTCAATAATCAATAACAATTTGAACTTCAGGTTATTTCATTGTACTGTACTTATCCTGATTTCTAACATGAAGACTTGTACTCTCATTTATGTTCATAAATGAGTTTTTATTTATTTATTTATTTATTTATTTTTATTATTATTTTATCTACCCATTTTGTGGGAGTGCCTGAAGTAGTGGAGATCCGTTACTCACTTTAAGTTGACACTGTCATCGGTTCTTGTCTCACGTCGAGTCCAAATGAAAAGGATTTTGGACATATAAGGGTAGATGTCAGAATCAGATTCAATCATTTTGATAAGTCTAAACTTTGAATGAAAGACGAACTGATCGACTCTATTAATACATAATGGAATGAAATTGGGGTCAGTTTAAGAAAATAAATACAGTAGAAATTATGAACCACCAAGTATTGGGTTAATTTATAGTAAAAGCATAGTGTTACTCAACAATTAGAACATGGGTTTACAGCCATGTTTAAGAAATTAATCGCACAAAAACAGAGGTAGGGAAGCTCTGATTTGAAGACTTTGACCCATTTTTCAACTAGGGTTGCACGCATGGGTTGCAAACCCTAGGTCATGAGCGGACAACAAGGGTTCCAAACTAGGGCTACATTTGGGGATTTGACTAAAAAGATATTCTCAATTATTTTATGGTTCATCCCTTGTTCTGCATTTGCCAGACATGGTTAGCAAATTTAAGTAATTGTCATACATCAACCAAGCGCAGTGATTTTGACGCCCCTCATCATATAATGAAGCACCAGTGTAACCTTAGTGGTGAAAATTACCTTTAAAAAATATACAGATAGTGGTGAAAAGACAAAGTTACCCCTTTGATTCCATGTATTATTTATAGTGTTGGCATTTTTTAATTTATTTTTCTTTAAAGGCACCCACAATATTATCCTAAATAAGACTCGAACATTCAACTTCCTCTTTAAAGATGAGAAATCATACAATATGTACTAATACCTATTGTTACATATGGCCTTTACAGAAGAAATTTTACGAATTTTAGGTGCCCATACACCTCAAACTTGGATGAAGGTAGGATTTAAGCCCGAATTTTGTTACAGCATAATTTGTATAAATATATCTCTAAAATTTTCAATTTCTAACTCGTCCTTCCTTCTAGTTGTTTTCTACTTCAAATTTGTAGTGTCAGCATTGCATACTTTGCATTGTTAGGCAAACAGTCAATGCAAGTAGTTGGACCTCTCCTCCCTACAATTTGGTGAACTGCACTTCACAACATTACCCTTTACTAGTGTTTTCTCAAAACACTTACCACCCGTTTAAAACTGTTTGCCTAACATTACATTTTCAATGCCGCAATTACAAAACTCATTTGACCTAATTTACTAACCAATAAGATTGGATCAGCTGACGAAAGATTTATATTGTGCAAAAGAGTCGGAAGTCAATCAATGTAAATTTTGCAATATTTGTTTAGTTTAGTCTGTGTTTTTTAATTAGATACAAGGATTGGTATGAAGATGATACTATCAGAAATTTTTGACTCAAATATGAATTTTTGAGTTAAAATCTGCTGCATTGCAGAATTTATCTTCAAAATTTTGAGAATTGGACAATATAAATTTACTTTGATTCAATTCTCAGTAATGGTGATAGGCTATGTAGATGAAAATTTTGTGTTTATCAATTTGTGGCATGTATATCTACCACTACTATAATAATCTCTTTCTAACTTTTGTGAGATGTCTTTTATATTGTTTGTTCATCCTTGTTTAATTTATTTTGCAACTGGTAGTTGTTCTTTATCTTCTAGTTGGTTTGTCTCTTTGATAACTGAATACGAAATTCTGATTTAGAAATACGTTCATTTAACTCTGTTTCTGTCATTTCCACATTTCTCTACACAGTTAAAATTGCAAGACTGTTTTGCAAAATACATCATATACAAACTTCAATTAAATCGTCATTATTATTATTATTCTTACTTTAATTCCATATGAATGAGGCCGACCACATGAACTCTTTCTCTAATCCTTCATATTATAGGCCCTTTCATCTACATGAAGGGTTTTATTTATTTATTTATTTATTTATTTTTTAATATTAGAGGACAAATGATCATGTTGCAAAGCATAAAACGTCTACAAAGCATGTAAATAACCAATGATCACAATTCTCATATTTTGGATGTGACCACAAAGCACGTCCACTATATCTCAGAAGTGGATTCCCTCCTGGGGGAGTCCTGTGCACCAGACGTCATTTTGGTGCACAAATATGGAGCTCAACACGAGCCCCAAACAACATGGTTTCAAATAGCATCAAGTCAGGATGAGTATAAAGTGAATGTGTGCGTTATTTGCTAGAAAATAATAAAAAAATGGTGTTTGAAACTCTGAATTGCAGATTACTTCCTAAGTTCCTAGTAATCAGCAGACCCTAGAAATTTTTTTTCAGCTTATTCTAGCAGACTGAAAGTGAGGTTCTGGTTGTCCCCTCATAAATCAAATGGTTATTAATTACTATAATCTCAAAGGGTTGGTAGGCCCTTTTGAAATCCACATATATTGTCACACTGTGACAGGTGACGTGTTCATATATTTGGCAAGGACAATGAGGGAATAGAAGCTCTAAAAAAATGGAATGGAAGGTGACATTTTCAAATCCAATGACAACATATATGATACATATCCCAAAGGGTCTCACAATGACAGGAATTTGCATAGAATCTCTTGATTGAATATAAAGAAATTTTGAGCAATTGTATTAGAAAATTGTTTTGTGCATGATAGTCACTAAAAAAGGGTTCAAACAAAGATTATTTTGATCAGAAGATTATTTTGTCATTTTCCATTGATTAGGAGAAAATATAAGGAGATGCATACATGAGAAGGAGAGCATGAGAAGTATGAAAGTAGTTCTCATAAACAGTTCAGTTTGTAGTCTCTTTAGATCACAAATTTGGTAAGAGAGCTTGATTTGGAGTCCATGGCCTTGACTTGGACTCCTTGGTGGTGGTTCTTAAGAGAAGAGACTTAGCTTCATCTTCTCACAATCACCCACAAAAGGCGGCGAAGCCTCGGAGACAAACCCCTCCTCAGGAAGCACATAGTGGTTTTGAACCAAGTGAAAAATACTATCATCCACTTATCTTCCTAGTTCTTTAGAATTTTCACTTCTAGGCTGGTTTTCAATCTTGTTGAAGTGGAAAACTAGCTTTAAGGTACAGATTTTCGGTAGATAATACATACTCTTAGAGTTCAGTTCAAAGAATTTGAGCTGTATATATTCAGAGGGAGAAGTGAAAAAGAATGGAAGAAAAGAATGACGCTGAGAAGCTTGATGATGTGATTTTACCGGGGTTTCGATTTCATCCTACAGACGAAGAGCTTGTTGGATTCTACCTGAAGAAGAAGATTCAGCAGAAACATCTTCCTATTGAGCTGATTAAGCAAGTGGATATCTACAAATATGATCCATGGGATCTTCCAAGTAAGATAAATTCTTGTCTCATACATGATTATATTTGAAGTAACTTGAGATGGTAATTAAAAACACATCTTACTTTCATGTTTTTTTTTCCCCATAGACAACCATATAAAGTAAAATTAATTTCTTCTCTTCATTTTATTAAAAGCCACCTAGAGACATGAGAAATTTTCTTGCCACCAAACTCCTTATAGGATAGTGCAGAGGAGGTGTTAAATTTGCTAAAATTCCTGTATTTGGAGGATTCACTTGTCATGTTGTGGAAGGGTCAAAACAACCATGCTATCATTATTTTTAATATAGTGAAGTAAAATATAAGTATATATGCACTTTGCAATCAATCACTTTTCAATGGATTAAAGTAACTTATAAGTACCATTATGACCTTTTATTCAACTACATGTAAAGAGTTGAATTGTGCTAGGCTTCAAGTTGCTTACTAAAACAAGTTATTTTCTTTTCCTCTTGATTTTTCACCAGAGCTGGCATCTTCTGGGGAGAAAGAGTGGTATTTCTACTGTCCAAGGGACCGGAAATACAGGAACAGTGCCCGGCCAAACCGTGTCACAGGAGCTGGATTCTGGAAGGCCACAGGAACCGACCGGCCAATATACTCCTCTGATGGCACCAAGTGCATTGGTTTGAAGAAGTCCCTAGTGTTCTACAGGGGCAGAGCTGCCAGAGGGATCAAAACTGACTGGATGATGCATGAGTTTCGACTTCCTTCTATCCCAGACTCAGGACCTCCCAGGAAGCTCTTAGATAAAAGCCTTCCTCCAAATGTAAGTCTACTAAGTTCTCTATAGATTATAATTCACTAAAAGAGACATTATCCAAGCTATAACTTATTAGTTCTCCGTAAATTATAAATTACTAAAAAAGATATTACCCAGTTCTGGTGTCGATATAACTTATTATTTCTCTATAGATTATAAATAACTAAAAGAGTCATTACCTAGTTCTGGTCTCGTTACAATCTATAAATAACTAAAAGGGACATTACCCAGTTCCGATCTCGCTATAACTTATTATTTCCTCCATGGACCTGCAGGATTCATGGGCGATTTGTAGAATATTCAAGAAAACCAATTCCATGGCACAGAGAGCACTTTCTCAATCTTGGGGATCTCCATTACCTCAAACAATTGCAGCACCTGATATGTACAGTTCAGAGAACATCCCTTGCACAACCGAAACCGGATCAACTAGTTTTTCTGCCCTAGACATCCCCTCATACAAGCCCATCATCAATCCAACAGTACTTTGTAAACAATCTCCATTTTCCATCCCAAATGGAGACCTCATCTCTGATGGCTTTATGTATTCACCTCTTGACATATCAACATCCACCACAAAGTGTACAGTTGATGTTTCTAATTCTATGCTTTTCAATCTGTCCCCTTCCCTTATTGGGGATTTTAACAAGGCCTCCAATAACATTGAATTTGAAGGACAACAACAGCAGTTCAACAGCTTTTCAATCACTTCGCCGCGAGATGTTCATGAAAGCTTAGGCACAGGAGAGGATTACATGGACTTAAAGAAGAATTCAAGTGCAACCCATGATAATAGCCAGTGGGGGAATTTCAGATCAATTGGATTTCCTTTCAGTTTGCCTTCAACTCAGACTGATTCATTGGCATGGGATTCTCCTCCTTGTGCTAGTGAAATGTCCACTACTTATTCTACGAACAAATGTTATAATTAATTGTATACTTTAGACTTCTAGCTTTGGCTGGAGCAAATTAAAGCTTGTATTATAATTTACAAACATATTCTGTTTACAGTTTTACTGTACAGTTTGCCTATATTACATGATGTTTGGCTGAAGTTTTTGTTTTCTTTCCTTTCCTTTCTTCTTATTGGCAGTGCAGAAAATAACTAACCAGAGGTCTAAGAAATTTGATATTTTACCCTGTTAAGTGAAGTTTAAATTTGATGTGTGAAGGTTAAAAACTACATGTATAGTTACTAATACATGCCTAAACAGAATGCAAGAGGCAGCAAAACAATGAAACCTAAAGTTTTACCACTAATAACATAGATACAATGGCACAACCACTTCTCAATAAGTTTGTAAACCTTGGTGTTCATAAACAAAGCAGCTGAGCAGCATTCCTCTTGAAGTCAGATACATTCACTGGATAGTTGGTGTTCATATACCAACTAGGATATATATATATATATATATATATATTACCTCTGTCCCATTTTTGTTGTCCACTTCGTAAATTGTGAGTCACAGTTTACGAAGTGGACAACAAAAATAGGACGGAGGGAGTAATAGTTAGTGCTCATATATTCTCATAGGAATCACTAACTAATAACTACGTGTTTAATTAAGATTTGCTATAACTTCCAATTATTATTATTTTATTTTTCACAACAATTGTCAAAGAAGCTAGCACCAACACATATGCTTAAAATATGAAATATCTTCTTAAATTTGGGATAGAGTATCAATTTTTTTTTTCCTTAAATAGTTTCCTTTCTAAATGAACTCCCATAAATTTTACTTTTTACACACAAACACAACTCAGAAAGTTATGTTGTGGTACCAGATACCAATCTTCTCAAATTGTCAAATTCCGTACTGTTTTTATATTAAAATTTAAATCTTATTCACGAAGTCAAGATGGCCGAGTTGGTCTAAGGCGCCAGTTTCAGGTACTGGTCCGAAAGGGCATGGGTTCAAATCCCATTCTTGACATTTTTTTTTTTGTTTTTTTCCCTATTATTTCCTCTATCTGGTCATCTCTCTCTACCAGCTTTCGCCTCATGGTAGCGGCCCTAAAACATAAGGGTATACCTTACAAGTACTCAAAAATAAACATAAGAGTATACCTTACAACAGCTAGTTTGCCTTTCCTTCAATTCACAAATAAGGGTATACCTTACAAGAGCTATTTAGCCTTTCCTTCAATTCACAAATAATTAAGGACATTCACTATCCACATATAGAGAAAAGCTAAAGCCTTTCCTTCTCCAGACAATAAAGAGGATTATTGATCAATAGATTCAGATCACCTTTATCTGTAAGCAATAGTGTGAAACTTGATTTTCTTTGACAATAAAGTAGCAGAAGGCATGTGCGTGCAAAGCCCGAAGTCGGGCTTCAAGGACAACGGGGAGCAACCCAACAGCTGGGCTGATCCAATAGATTATTCCGGTGATTCTTTCGTGACAATGAGTACTGTTAGTCACACCTATACTATCTGGTCAGTTATCTCTCCAACTGCCATGCAGACAGAAACATGTGTCATACAGGACCTGACAAGTTCTTCCTGCAAAAGAGTTGAACCGACCCTAAAACACAAGGATATTACCCTACACGTACATAAAAGATGTTGTAGGATCTGAATTCTGCTTTTGGTCACCACCTTGATTTCAAGTTTCTTCCAATCAACAATTTATAAAATCTGAAGGACGAGCAAAGATTTAATTTTTCTGAATTTCAGGAGAATTTCAACATATAAGCCTGTCTTATCTCAGCGAGGAAACATTCATAGATGTTTAACAGCTTCCCTCATTTTAGGGATCATTTAACTTCATCTTCTTCCCTAGATGATCCACATGTTGCTAGTGCAAGCAAGACAGCCCGAAACTTCCTCATTACCAAACTTACCCATCCTTTTACACCACTACTCCATAAACCAAAACCATTTGTTCTATCAATTCATGTGGCTCAAGATTGGTATCACAATTATCACAGAATAAGGAAAGAATTTGCGGGTTAAATATTGAATTTGATGTGTAAATCAGCTGAAAGATACATTTAATCCCAATAACAGAGTGCCACACAAATCATCATCAAGATGTTATTATACGAAACTAAACATCCATTCCATTCATAAAAAAAATGATAGGTCGACAAGTTCAAAGCACAAGAATACCATAACGAGACCCTAGAAATAAACTTGTCTACAGAGTGATGAACAAAACGATACTAAAATTCAGAACAAACTTTACTGGAACATTGTTTCAAATATGAAGGCAACTGAACATAGTCTTTCTACATTTCTTCATCATCATCGAAGTCAAAATTTCTCACAAGCATGTTATAATTGAAAAGGCTTCTGCATTAGCACTTGTTACTTCAGCTCTTTGAGACTTGCTTTTCCTTGGCCTTCTGGATCTTCAAAACCTTTTTGACAATCTTTTGCTCTTCAACCAAGAAGGCACGGATTATCCTACACAACAACAAAAAAAATCACACGCGCGCATCGTGATCACTTCTTATGACAATATTTACATTAAGAACTGAAAGTGAGAATCCCATCACTAGTGACCATAATGACATACCTCTCCCTCACAGCACCACCAGAGAGCACACCACCATAGGCACGATTCACAGTCCTACGGTTCCTTGGCAATCTTGACCTCTTGTATTCAGCAGGTCTCAAATGGGGAATCTGCAGATGGATAGGAAATAAAACCATTACCAATGCCATGTTTATCAACCATGCTGCTCCAATATAAGTTCTAATAATATGTCCATACATTGCTTCAACATATAGGACAGCTAGTATAATAAAATTGAGAGTCCAATAAACACTCCTTTGGACAATCCACATGAAGCACAAACACAAACAATAATATCACACACACATAACAGGTCCTAGTCCTGCAGAACCTTCGTGTCCTTGACCTCATATGCAAACATGTAACACCCGTATCTGCATGCATAAATAATCAGAATTGTGTATATCCTAATAAGAAGGAAGGACATCCTAACACATAACATAGCACTCCTCCAAAGGTTTCAATAGTGTAAAGAAGCCACTCTCTCAACTACTAAATGTTTAGATGCTTTTCACATGCTCTCCCCACCTTGACCTCCTAGGGGAGTGGATTCCATACCGGTTATGGTCCCAACTTACGTCTAACTACCGACATAAAGAAAATAAATAAATAAATAAATAATTTTGAGTGGGAGAAACTGCCCCAGAGACTAGTGTAGCTATGCCATTTATTGGCATGAAGGATCTGGCTCAAGTTCAATTCCTAAGGGCACTTAGCACTCGGGCCCTGATAACTGTTACCCCCTCCAAAACAAAACAAAAAAAAAAAAAAGGAATTTTGTATAACATAAATTTATAAAATACTACATTTTTTATTTTAGAAAGAGAGAGGGAGAGAGAGCAAAAGCAAAAGTATTGGACACATATAGCAACAGCAATATCACACCATGCTTGTCTATGATCATTCAAACACATATTTTGAACCAAGTCTGTCTTTGTTTGATCATCATAACACCAAAAATCAACCAGAGATACAAGGAAACAGTTTCCGGGGTGATTATACTCTTCTATATCATATCAATACTGTAGACTATGGTTCTACTAGTATGTTTAAGAATAAAACAATACAAAGGAATATGAACGTGGACCCCATTATGCCAACCTGCTTTTCCATGTAAAATATTGGGAAGAGCCATGAGACACAAATGTCATCCAAATATGCACCCTATTAAAATGTTCCCTACTAGTGACAACATAAAGTTCACATCCAACACAATGCAATATTCCTGCATACCTATTTTTTTGTCACAATAGCACTTCAGACAATTCATACTTTTATTTATGCTAAAAGTTAATTCCATTTGAAAAGGTACAATCCAAAGAAGCAAAAAAGCAATTTTTTTGCATCATGTACACACGATACAGAACTCTATCGTATATAAGACGATAGTACTTTGACCACAAGCCATAACAATTATATGAGCCTCAAGAGCAGGAGCAGAAAATCATAAGTGGAGGGCATATTCCTAATTCGCAATTCGATAGCTCTTGCTAACGAAGTCAAGCTAGTGGTCCTATATTGACACACCATTGGAAATTAACATAAAAAAAAAATCTAAAAGTCAATTTGCCATTAATCACCTGCCCATACTCAAGACACAGCCATGGGTACACTAAGAAAATTAAATGTATGCATAGATACAACCACATGACCTAAAAATCTCATACAGTAGGGCCATAAACCTAAAATTCCAAGACTAATAGCAATCAACCACTCAATCATAAATATGGGCATACATAACCATGAAAGAAACAGAAGAAATACCCCTTGGATTCTCTTTCCAGTAACGGGGCATTTGGGTCCGCTAGCTCTCTTCTTAGTGGTCTGATACACCAATCTCCCACCTAATTCATATAAATTCAACCCAAATGAGTAATCAATTAACACTTAAGTAATCACAATAGCAATACTATGATCGTTAGCATATCAACACGAACCACACTATACACACTATCCAGATCAGTAATTTTTTCAATTGAAAACAACGAAATATAAAGATTACATAACATCTAGGGTTTATCAGAACAGTGAATCAAAGAAAATATCAGAAATGAACAACTAGGGTTTCAAACAATCGATCAGATTATGAAAATGATACATCATAAGGACTTGAGAGTTGTAAATGATTACCAGGAGTTTTGACCACCCTGTGCTGGTTGGATTTGGTGGCATAGCTGTGCCGTTTGCGATATGTGAGCCTCTGAACCATCTTTGAGTCCTTGGCCACTCTCTCCCTCTCCGAGTGTAAGATAAGACTGCGACAAAAGGGGTTTTCGAAGTGTGAGAGAGAATGTATATAAAGCGGCGTCCTGATAAAGAAAGCCCTAAATCTGACGGCTGCAACGCATCGTCTTAACGGACAAGATTAATCATCTCTCAGGGTAATATTTTACATTTATTATTATCTTTGCCTGGTAAAGTTTCTTAATTTTACAAATAAGCTGTCTGATTTATTCAAAATGACAAATGCTTCTGTAGCCCGCCCGTGAGTAAGCGTGCTACGTTTTGGCTATTTATATTTACTAATTTAATTTCTAACACTTTTAGAGCTAAATTTGAATTGATCGAAAATTTTCAATTGTTATCAATACTAACCTAAACTTTAAATTATAAAAGAACTTAATTTAACCAACCATAATAATTTGAGCATATAGTTTTTATTATTATTATTACAAGTTTGTTTGTATGAGTTTTTTTTGCCGTCAAATTTGTCGTATATATAAGAAGAATTAATGGGAAGTAGTATAAAACCTCCTGTGCTTTTCAAATATTTCATTTTTCAGCTAGAAGTTGAGTATTTGTGAATGGGATTAAAGCAAAAACAAATATTTCATCAATTAATATTTGTATGATATTTCATCAGGATAATTGATGAAATATTTGCATGGATTAAATCCAACATAAATACCATATAAATTCTAACGTATTGATGAATCGATATCAAATAAGGCAATTCTCATGTATCTTTCATATGAACTTTTACTCGAGTTATGTTTAGAACATGACAACTTAAAAATGAAATTCACGAAAATTTAGATGAGTTTGAACCATTTCCTCTAATTTTAATTTTTAAATATCAATTCAGTGCTCCAAATGCAACATTAAAAATGACTTTGAATTGAAATCTTACCCAACATAAATAAAACAAAACCTAAAAACTAGGGGTGCAACTTGGGTTGGGAATCCCAAACCCAACCCGAGCCCAGTCCAATTTTTTACGGGCTTAGGTAATCATTTTTATAATTAGGATTGGGTTTGGGTTGAAAAATCTCAACCCAAATTGATTAGAGTTGGGTTTGGGTTGAAGTGTTAGCAACCCGAGCCAACCCGAATACGAATTATAATATTATTTTCATTTATATTTTTACTTTAAAATTCATCTTATATATTATTTAAACTATAATTACCTTTTTTCTTTTCAACTTCCTTTTTTAAATCTTAATTTATAGTTTATAATTTATTAAAAATCTACAAAAAGTATTTAAATTTTTTTTTTTTTTTTTTTTGTTTAAGAGTAATTTAATCTAAAACTAATTCAAGATCATATTAAATTTTCGGTGTGAAGATTAGTCATGTGAGTAACCCGAATTAATCCGAAATTTTAACACGAAATCTAAACCCGAATTGCAAGTCTGAATTTAAAAGTAAAAGGATGGGTTGGACTCGGGTTGAGTTGTTAGGATTGAAGATAGGATTAGGGTTAGATTTGAATTTACCATTTCATATAATGGATTGAGTTCAAGTTATATTCCAAACTCGTCCAACCCACCCGAATTGAAACCTACTGAAAACACATAAACTTAGTGGGGGTATTAGTTTTACATGTGCTGAGAGATTGCAAAGATTTCCATTGAAGTGATAAGCACCATGATTTCTTACAATTCGAGTATTTGTGAACACATTGTATAATACGTGTTTCATACTGAAACAGTGATTCGGACTAATCCAATTCTAGCCCAATGTACTTCTATTCTTATAGATTTCATTGTGGGCCCAATTATGGTCACCCCTGTATAGAATTAGAAGAGTCTGCACAAAAATAAGTTTGTAAAACCACTTTCATTCATCCTTCCTATTCATTCATCAGCCCCATTCCCTTTCAGGTCAGGTCCGGTCAGGAGTGGGTATTCGAGGTGTTCGGTGCACCTTATTTCAGGCATATCAGAATAGTTCGTGCATAACACGCGCATGAACAAACGGCTCTAATGACCCGGTGCACAGTGCACCGAACATATCGAATATATTCTCCAAATCCATGGCTACACACAATTCTTGAGTTAGGAATGTTCGGGTCCATATGGTCTCGTACTGAGGTGCCGCTGCTACTTTTCTCTCTGGACTGACATTATATATATATATATATATATATATATATATATTTGTTAACCGAGCATTTTATATGTCTGATAGTATATTATGAATTGATCTAAGAAGCCCCACACTGCCATCGTTATGTACAACAGTTCATTTGTTTGAAAATATGTGAAAGATTTGTAACACAAAAATTTTAGCCATGTCTTCAATATTTATCTATAAGCTCCCTTTAACTCGAGTGACTTATGAAAATGCATGAGCATATAGGGTACAACAATTAACCAATTCAAATTTCAGACCCAAACCAGAAAATTGTGTTGGGCTTTGAACTACACTACTACATTCACTGTAAAGTTCTAAACCCTGCTCAACCTAAATCAATAAAGTCAAACTTGACTTCCAACAAAAACATTTTTTTTTTCACTATTCATAAAATAGCTCCAGATGCTTAAAATTTCACCATCTAGATATAATTAAATATGATTAATTAAGTCCATTTGTTACTAAAAGTTTGAATATATGTATTAGTACGTAGTATATATATATGTATTAGTACTTTTTCTTTCTGGACTGACATTGTATATATATATATATGTTAACCGAGCATTTTATATGTCTGATAATAAATTATGAATTAATCTAAAAAGCCTCACACTATCATCGTTATCCACGACACTTCATTTGTTTGAAAATATATGAAAGATTTGTAACACAAAAATTTTAGGCATGTCTTCAATATCTATCTATGAGCCCCCTTTAACTCTAGTGAATTGTGAAAATGCATGAGCATATAGGATACAACAATTAACCAATTCATATTTCAGACCTAAACCAGAAAATTGTGTTGGGCTTTGAACTACACTACTACTTTCACTGTAAAGTTCTAAACCCTGATCAACCCGAATCAATAAAGTCAAACTTGACTTCAAAAAAACATTTTTTTCACTATTCATAAAATAAATTCAGATGCTTAATTTTTCACCATCTAGATATAATTAAATACGATTAATTAAGTCCATTTGTTAATGAAAGGTTTTTTTTTTTTTTTTTGTTTAATTCTCTTCATCACCTTTTCTTCTTCTCATTTGTTACTAAAAGTTTGAATACATGTATTTTAAAATATGTAGGCTAATGAATTTTGGCATGTATTAGTACGGAATATATAATATTATGAGTTATTGAACTTGACATTTAGAACTTCAAAAGGATAGCGTAATAGCAAAAACACTTACCTCGTGACTTAGAGATCGAGAGTTCAAATTCCCTTAATGCCACTTTCAGAGAATATTTTCATCCGACTATATATATGTTTTTTATATTTTAAACGAATAGCTCAGTTGTCGTAATGGTTACAAATACCTCTAGAGAGAGGGGGCTAATGCGGCCACACGTCACATTTAATGAAAGAGTACTATATATATATGTTCCGTGTTTGATTATTAAATTCTCTAAGTCTGACACCACAAAAAAAAAAAAAAAAAAAAAAAAAAAAAAACCCTTAATATTTAGAGCAAAAAAATTCTAAAGAAATTAGGGGTCTTTCCCTACTGAAGTCAATACCTCTGGGCCCTAATTTCTCTGGGGACAAAAATACTAATGGGCCCAACTATCACATGCTTAAGCAAGTTTGAATTTAAAGGCTTGGATGGGACACTCATAGGGCTGGCGATATCTGATAGGTTGAAAAATGAGATTGGGGCTATCTTATGAAAGTCACTTCAATTATCTGCACTAAATATGGATCCTCATGGCCCTTTATTTTATCACTGTGAGGGACCACATTGTGGTATAGCATGTAAAGACAATTATGATTCAAGACATATATGTCTTTTGTGTTTTCAAAATGAAATGGGAGATTTTTGAAAGGAAAAAATGTAAAGATGATTTTATCATTTCATTTACTAAACTGCCTTAAATACAAATTATAATATTTCAAAAGTATAAGATGATTTTATCATATAATACAGAACGATAAACTAGCTTAAGAATACTCACACTTAGGTTATAGTTGTTCTATATACGCGCGTGTGTTAAGTTTGGTTAGAGAGATTGAGAGGAGAAAAAGAAGAAGAAAGGAAATGTAGGAAAAACATGCAAAAATGGAGTGAAATGGAAGGATTTGGAGTGAGAAGGAGCTCACTCAATGGTCGCACAAATTTTTTCTTATAGACCGAAATGAATGAAAATGATACAAATTTTCATTTATTTTCTCTCTTCTATTTTTTTTTTAACAGTTGATGCTATTAGGGGTGGTTTTAAATTGGATCGGATCGGATTAGACATCAATCCTAATTCGATCCGCTCCTAACGAATTAGGCAAATCTTAATCCGCCATCAATTCGTTATTTCACGAATCGAATTGAATCCACAAATAGAATTTTATCTAAATTATTCATTATTTATTATTATTATTATTATTATTATTTATTTGTTTTTTAACCATAGCCCAATAAATAAAATTTTTAATTTATTTATATTAATTCATATATTTAAATAATTATTAACTAATACATCATTGAAATCCATTAAATTATAATTAACTAATATATTATTTGAAAAAATATATATAAGTTTTACGGATCAGACTAATGGATCGGATCAGATTTTTAACAGCCCAATTCTTGATTCGTTCCGTGAATTATGGATTCAATTTTTTTTTAATTTGCCATCGATCCGTGAGTGTAGCAATCCAACTCGACCCGCACGAATTGGACAGGATCGAATCGGATTCGGGAATTCATAGATTATTTACCTACCCCTAGATACTATTCTTTCCTTTATCACAATCAAATACAATAACAAATTAACACTAAGTCACATAAAGCAGAAGCGGAAGTGTGAAAACAACAAAATTTAAATCATACAGAATAAGAATCAGAGCAAGAGCATACACGAAACCTAAGAGCGGGAGCAGCGCAGAGTTGAGAGCGGCATCAATTTTAAAAAATTATCCTCCCATTTCTATTCTTTTCCT